CAGATCCACTCTCCGTGGCTTCGTGCTCTCAAGCATGAGAGATCCGCAACGTCGAGCTAGCAACGTTAAACTAGTGCTTGTCGGGAGGTAACTCAACATAGGTTTGTTTTTCTTTTCCTTATTTTCTCTTTTTGTGTTTAAGTGATGAGTTCAAGTGGTTGAATGGTTACCATTGTGCCAGGTTTGTGTGTCTACATGTTTTGGATGTGTCATGATTGAATTAAGGGCACGGTTGTTTTGATCGAGTCGTGAAAATTGGGAAATGCCCTATTTTTTCCTCGTTCACGGTTTTAGCTCCACAATAACCACGATAATCAGGTGGAGATCAGGAATGGTACAGGCAGGCCCAGCTTTTTGAAACTCACACACTGTGATTTATTATCACGGTCGTCCCGACCGTGAAAAATGTCTTTCGTCCATGAACCTCAGGCTCGAGATATAGGGTCTGGATACTATAACAACAAGGTTAAAATGGTACATTAACCCAATAAATAATAAAATTAAAAATTTAAGTAATTATCCCTACGCCTCTTCCCAGTTCCCACCGCCACAAAAAATTCCAGATTGTTTTCGTCCCCATCCTTTCTTCGTCCTTTCACCCTGAAATCGTCCCTGTTTCAGTCAAGTAGGAGGTGGATGCTGCACTCCGGCGTCGAGACGAAATCATCGTCGAGCTGGCGGCCGCCGATGACAAGCCTTTGGATTGAACAGGGAAGGAAGAGAACATGGAGAGGGAGGACATCAAGATGCTGGTGAAGAAGTGGTGGGAGATTTACGAGGACAAGTCGTTGGATTACGAGAATTGGATCAGGTCGGAGGCGGTGGTTGCGGATCCGGAGGCGGTGAATGTCTAGCCGTTCCTGGCGGCGCTATCGGAGGTCGGAGTGTTGGATGTTGAACTGAATCCGAATCCGGTCTGGAAAAGGATTGCGCGTCAATGTTTAAAGGTCAAGAGTCTGTTTAGTTAAAGTGATGTCGTTTAGTATTTTACAGTTCCAGTCCTTATTGTTTGTGTCGTGGTTAGTGGAGTCAGTTGGCTGAACTAGCCGTTGCAATTGATAGAATTTGTAGAGTCAGAGTGTTAGTTGCGAGGGCTAATTCTCAGGGATTGAGATGTTGGAGTTTGTTGTCAAAGCCGAGTTTGATGGATTTAGTTAGGAGTTCTCTGTATAAATTTCAGTCTCTATCAATGAATAAGATCGTCAGTTTGCAATACATCTGCTGCAACATAGTGGTATCAGAGCAGAGAGCGAGCTGTAACCAAGAGTGTGTTGAGTGATCTGTGAGTAAATGAAAGCTGATTGAGTGATTCTCTGGGTTGGGAAACACGAGGGAACAAGTGAGGCAAGTTAATTCCTGGTGAGTGATCAATATGAGTGAGAGCAGTTTTGCCCAAGTCTGTATTCCCAAGTTCGATGGGGATTTTGATCACTGGAGCTTGCTGATGGAGAATCTACTGAGATCCAAGGAATATTGGACAGTGGTTCAGGAAGGAATAAGGGAGCCTGCTCAAAATGAGGTGATGACTGAAGCTCAACAAAGGATTCTGGATGACAGGAGATTGAAAGATCTCAAAGCGAAGAATTATCTCTTCAGCTCCATTGAAAAAAGTATTCTGAAAACAATTACTCAGAAGTCAACTGCCAAGGAGATCTGGGATTCAATGAAAACAAGGTACCAGGGTAGCGATCGAGTGAAGAAATCACAACTTCAAAGCCTCAGGAGGAGCTTTGAACTGCTGCAAATGAAGGAAGGGGAATCGGTTGCAGAATACTTTGGAAGGGTGATGACAGTGGCCAATTCAATGCGAAATTGCGGAGAAGAGATGCCCTATGTGAAGATAGTAGAAAAGGTACTGAGGACTCTGACTCCAAAGTTCAACTACATAGTTTGTTCTATCGAAGAATCAAAGGACATAGATGAACTGAGTGTTGAGGCTTTGCAAAGTTCGTTGTTGGTTCATGAGCAAAAATTTGTCAATCAATCCTCAGAAGAAGAACATGCTTTGAAAGTGACCTATGACTATGGAGGAAGAGGTGGAAGGGGTCCAGGGAGAGGTGCATATCAGGGTAGAGGCAGGGGTCGAGGGAGAGGTTGGAATCGAGACTTGGTTGAATGCTTCAAGTGCCACAAATTAGGCCACTTCAAGGCAGAATGCCTTGAGTGGTACAGCAACCAGCAGGCATACTATTCTAGTCACGATTCACATCCTAATCGTTCACAATCATCCTATCCTGATATGACTGATGATGTTCTTCTTATGGCATTTGTTGAGAAGAAAGAAGAAAGTGAAGAAGAGAAGTTGCAGGCCTCAATGGCTCTACTGGACACACAGTCTGGTAAGAAGAGAGACACCTGGTGGTTTCTGGATAGTGGCTGCAGCAACAACATGAGTGGAGAGAAACAGTGGTTTACCTCCATGGAAGATAATGGAGATTGCAATGTGAAGCTGGGAAATGGGACAAAGATGGCAGTTGCAGGCAAAGGAGCAATCAGGCTGGTGGTAGAAGGGGTATCTCTATCTATCAGAGATGTGTTCTATGTTCCAGGACTTACAACAAACCTACTAAGTGTAGGACAACTTCAAGAAAGACAACTCAGCTTCGTCATCAAGGAAGGTATCTGCAAGATCTATCATGACAAGAAGGGTCTTCTGTTGCAAACAACTATGAAAACCAACAGAATGGTTGTCCTGCACTCTCAAAATCAGACTAACAATACTACTGGGGATCATAGTTGTATGCATCAAACAGAAACCAACAACAACACACTGACTCTCTGGCACAGGAGGTTTGGCCATCTCAGTGGCCAGAGTCTAATACAGTTGCAGAAGAAAGAAGCTGTGCAGGATCTTCCCCAATTGCAAGGAGAATTGGGAATCTGCTCTACCTGTCAGATTGGCAAACAGCATCGAGCTACTTTCCCTAAGCAAAGCAAATGGAGAGCAACCAAGAAACTCCAATTGATCCATGCTGATCTGTGTGGTCCAATCACCCCAGTCTCAAATGGAGGAAAAATGTATATCTTGACTATCACTGATGATTTCAGTAGAAAGTTATGGGTGTATTTCTTGGAAGCAAAGTCAGAAACGTTAAGCTGCTTCAAGAAATATAAGGCTCAGGTGGAAAAGGAAACAGGAGAATCGATTGTGTGTCTAAGAACTGATAGGGGAGGAGAATTTCACTTGAAGGAATTCAAGGAGCTGTGTGAATTGATGGTATAAGAAGGCAGCTGACTGCTGCACTGACTCCCCAGCAGAATGGGGTTGCTGAAAGAAGAAATAAGACCATAATGAACATGGTCAGGTGTGCTTTAGCTGATGCAAAGGTTCCTGCAGCATTTTGGCCAGAGGCTGTGGCCTGGACCAGTCATGTGTTGAACAGGAGTCCAACAACAGCCAACTCAGGAAGAACACCTCATGAACTTTGGACAGGTACACCTCCATCTGTTGGTCACTTCAGGGTGTTTGGATGTGTAGCCTACGTACATGTGAATGATCATTTGAGAAGAAAACTAGATGACAAGAGCATACAGTGCAATTTTTTAGGCTTATCCACTGAATCTAAAGCATATAAGTTGTACAATCCTGCCACCAAGAAGATAGTGATCCGCAGGGATGTGGTCTTTGATGAAACCAAAGGCTGGGTTTGGGAGACAAAAACAACCAGAAATGACTCCACTGGTTTGGGATGGCAGTGATGAGACCTGGTATGCATCTGAAGATGAGGAAGAACATGGTGCTGCAGATATCCAACAACCTCCAGATGCACCAGAACGAGTCTCCCCTATTGTTCCTACATGCCCTTCTGCATCTCAGGATTATGGGGAGGATGATGAGAATGATAATCCTGATGTGCTTGGCCTTCCTAGTGGAAGCCTTGGAAAAAGAAACAGGCATCCACCAGGTCACCTTGCAATTTATGACTGTACTTTCTTTTCAATTTATGACTGTACTTTCTTTGCAGGCCTAGTGACCATGAGTGATGACCCTGCTACGTTTGAGGAAGCTGTGCAAGATGAGAAGTGGAGAAATGCCATGAAACAAGAGATGGTAAGCATTGAGAAGAATGACACATGGGTTCTGGTGGAACTACCTGCAGGAGTGACTCCCATTGGAGTCAAATGGATCTTCAAAACAAAATTGAAGGAAGATGGGTCTCTGGACAAATTCAAAGCACGGTTAGTGGCCAAAGGGTATGCACAGAAACATGGTATAGACTATACTGAAGTCTTTGCACCTGTGGCCAGGTGGGACACCATCAGACCCCTCCTTGCTCTAGCTGCACATCATGGTTTTCCAGTATTCCAGCTCGATGTAAAAAGTGCCTTTTTACATGGTGAATTGACTGAAGAGGTCTACATTGAACAGCCTCAGGGATTTGAGGTAAAGGGGGAAGAGCAGAAGGTTTACAAGCTTAAGAAGGCACTGTATGGTTTAAAACAGGCCCCAAGAGCCTGGTACAGCAAAATCGAGGCTTATTTCATGAAGACTGGCTTTGAAAGAAGTGACTATGAACACACATTGTTCATAAAAAGATCTGGTGATGACATTCTGCTAGTAAGCCTCTATGTTGATGATCTCATGTTTACAAGCAGTAGTGCTGATCTCGTAGAGGAATTCAAGAAATCAATGCAAGAGGAGTTTGAAATGACAGACCTAGGAAGGATGAAGTACTTCCTTGGGGTAGAGGTGCATCAAAGTGAGGCTGAGATCTTCATCAACCAGCAGAAATATGTGAAGGAAGTTCTGGAGAAGTTTGGCCTATCATACTGCAACTTTGTGAAGAATCCTATAGCTCCTGGAACGAAGTTGTCTAAAGCAGGTGATGGAATCAAGGTGGATGCCACTGAATATAAGAGATTGATTGGCAGTCTACTCTATATCTGTGCCACAAGACCAGATGTTATGTATTCTGTGTGTATGTTAAGCAGGTTCATGGAAGAACCAACCAGACAACACATGTTTGCAGCAAAAAGAATCCTGGTACCTGAAGGGCGCCATGGATCATGGCATCTGGTACAAGAGGCAAAGTGGAAATGATAGTCTTCTTGCCTATACTGACAGTGATTATGCAGGTGATCTAGATGATCGAAAATCAACCAGTGGTAATGTGTTCTTCATTGATGGAGGGGCCATCTCATGGGCCTCGAAGAAACAACCAGTTGTTACTTTATCCACAACTGAAGCTGAATTTGTGGCGGGATCATATTGTGCTGCACAATGTGTTTGGCTGAGGAAGATCTTGGAGCAGATGGGATGGAAGAGTTGTGTATCTGCTGCTACAAAGGTTCTCTGTGACAGCAACTCTGCAATAAAGCTGTCCAAGAACCATGTGTTTCATGGCAGAAGTAAGCACATCGATGTGCGTTTCCATTTTCTCAGAGATTTGGCTAAAGAAGAGGTAATTGAACTGGAATTCTGTCGAAGCCATGAGCAGGTAGCAGACATAATGACAAAAGCACTCCACCTGGATGCATTTATAGGATTGCGACATCAGTTGGGAGTATGTGGAGAAGATGATTTCAAATATGCAAAAGCAAGCAGGGAAGAGTAAAGCCAATGGAGGAGGATTCAGTTTAGGGGAGGATAATGTTGGATGTTGAACTGAATCCGAATCCGGTCTGGAAAAGGATTGCGCGTCAGTGTTTAAAGGTCAAGAGTCTGTTTAGTTAAAGTGATGTCGTTTGGTATTTTACAGTTCCAGTCCTTATTGTTTGTGTCGTGGTTAGTGGAGTCAGTTGGCTGAACTAGCCGTTGCAATTGATAGAATTTGCAGAGTCAGAGTGTTAGTTGCGAGGGCTAATTCTCAGGGATTGAGATGCTGGAGTTTGTTGTCAAAGCCGAGTTTGATGGCTTTAGTTAGGAGTCCTCTGTATAAATTTCAGTCTCTATCAATGAATAAGATCGTCAGTTTGCAATACATCTGCTGCAACATGGAGTTGTTCATTACGTTACAGCGCCATCGGCCGCTTAGGAGTGGCGGGATAATTAAGAGTAAATTACTAGTGTGTTTTGTTTAATTAAATTATTTTAAGGTTGGAGCTCCGTGGAAGGGGCGAGAAGCTTTTTGTTGTTTGACCCGTTGGGGATTTTCAGTCGTTGGATTTTCTGCGACATCCCACCGACGGGGCTGTCGATGTCGTCGACGTTCATGGGGAACTCGACCAGAATTCAGGAGATGTTCCGCCGAGTGTCGGAGCAGTTCATGGTGATGTTCAGGAGGAAGGCGTTTCTGCATTGGTATACAAGTGAAGGGATGGATGAGATGGAGTTCACCAGCAGAAGAAGAAAGGAAGGAAACAGCAGAAACAATGATAAGAAGAAGAAGCAGCAAAAGAAGAGATATAATCGTGGCTATAGATCATGGACAAGAACAGCAGACATGCTTTCAATTGGGCTCTGCTTCATCTCTGCCGCCAGGCTGACACTCTTCACCTTGTTCATGTTCTTTCTGGTCAGATTACTCTCTCTGTGAATGATTCTCTTGTATCGTTATGATTTGGATTCTATTTTCCTTCCTGGTGGTAGATGCAAAGAATTCCTTGCTTTGTGACATGAGTGGAGGGCTGGTGGAGAAGCTAACAATTGAGGCTTTGAGAATAACAATGGTGTCTTTTTATCAAAGTTAGTTCCATTTTCTATCATTTTCTCTTATAATTGGCTCTCTAAGTAGGCAAGATCCAAACTTTTTTGTTCATTTCATTCGGTTTTTGAAAGGATTCATTTCATATGGTTCAGGTGAAGGCAGTGGGGAAAATAGTGGAAGGAGAGGCAAGTAAAGGTTATTTGCAAGGAAGCAGGGAGGATAAGGCCTGTGCATTTAGGAGTTATCAGTATGCAGATCACTAGTCTTTAATAAACACACCAGAAACCTTCTAATGCAGACCACAAACGTGAAAAAAACCCACAAAAAAGCAAACCAGAACCCTCCTAATGCATACTACAAATTCTCTAATACAAACCAGAAACACCACAAACCAAACCACAAATATTTTGAAAGCACACCAGAAACCTCATAATGCACGGGTTGACAACCTTGACGAAGAGAAAATCAAGAGCCAAATGTTTCATTCTCGAGTGGTGAATTGGGTTGGCCGAGAAGTTAACAGCCCCGAGGTTGTCGCAGTAGAGGACGGGTGGACTGGAAACAGGATGATGAAGTTCCCGGAGAATATTTTGTGTCCATAATAGCTCGGATGTGGCATGGGCGAGAGAGCGGTATTCAGCCTCCATACCGGAGCGCGCCACTGACCGTTGTTTCTTGAACTTCCAAGATATAAGGTTGCCACCATAGTAAATGAGGTAGCCCATGGTGGATTACGATCATTAGGATCACCCGCCCAATCGGAATCGACAAAGGCAACAAGAGTGTGGGTGTCGACTGGAGAGAGACGAAGACGAAGAGAAGTTGTGTCGCGGAGGTAACGGTGAAGGTGTTTCACATGCTGCCAGTGAAGCTCGGTCGGGGCATGCATAAAATGTGAGAGCTTATTGATTGCAAACGCGAAATCAGGACGAGTGCACAATATATACTGGAGGGAGCCAAGTGCCTGCTTGTAGAGAGTAGGATCGGCAGGTGGGGAGCCATCATTAAGCTGAAGTTTGGCGGCTGAAGACAGAGGAGTGGGAGAAGGATGGGAACCAACCATGTCAAAGCGCTGCAATAGATCCAGGACATATTTGTGTTGAGACAATAAATACCCAACGGAGGATGGAAGGACTTCAATGTCCAAAAAGTAGTCAACATTGCCAATGATTTTTAGGGAGAACCGGGCAGCAAGACGTTCTTGAAAACTGGTGAGAGAGGGACCATGATTTCGGGTGAGAAGGAGATCATCAACGTAGACCAAAAAATACATAGTGATCCCGTCTTTGTTGTAGGTGAATAAGGACACGTCAGATTTGGACTTAACAAAGCCTTCCTGCTAAAGAAAATCAGATAGATACATATACCAAGATCGGGGAGCCTGTCAAAGACCATATATGGCACGAGATATACATCACACATGATCAAGAAAGTCATGATCACGGAAACCCGGTGGTTGTGCCATAAACTGTTTCGGCAAGAGAGCCCTGCAAAAATGCATTATTAACATCGAACTGCAAGATCGGCCAGTGATGAGATAGGGCAATCGTGAAAACAGTCTGGTTAGTGACCGGCTTGAGAACCGGACTGTAAGTGTCATGAAATTCGATGCCATGGCGTTGGGTGAAGCCTTTGGCAACTAGGCGGGCCTGAAACAGTCAATCGAGCCATTCGATTTCCATTTGATGCGAAAAATCCAGCGGCAGTCAAATATGTTGTGCGACAGAGGCCGGGGAACAAGGTTCCAGATCTGATTAGTAAGTAGAGCATGAAATTCATCCCTCATAGCTGCATTCCAACGAGGGTCTTTGAGAGCTTGCTTTATCGAAGTGGGCTCAAAGGGAAGAGAAACCTGCGAAACAAACAACTTCTTTGGGCAGAATATCCCATGCTGGCTGCGGGTGGTGGAACGTCGAGATGCCTTGGCCGGCGGTGGAGGCGGCTGAGCTCGATGCTGAGAGGAAGTAGAGGCAGGGGACACATCAGAAACAGAGGCAATGGAGCGACTATGAGTAGCAGGAGAGGCCGGAGAGGAGTCTGACTGCGACGTTCCGTGAGGATGATGTGGCGAGCTAGGCAGGTGAATGATAGTGACCGGCGATGTGGTTATGGCTATTAGAAGTGGGGTCGCAACATTTATAAGCACTTTGTGAGAGGGAATAGCCAAGGAAAATGCAACGACGGGAACGAGGAGTTTACTTGATGTCGGAATAGAGGCGGAGCCAAGGGTAGCAGATGCAGTCGAAGACACGAAGCTTAAGGTAATTGGGTTTCTCATTAAACAAGGACAAATATGGGGTTAGACCATGGAGGGTGAAGGAAGGAAGACGTTTGATAAGATAGGTAGCGGTTTGAAAGGTATGGGACCAAAAACGAAGAGGAAGGTTGGCGGTGTGGAGAAGGTTAATCTAGTTTCAACAACATGTCTATGTTTACATTCGGCAAGGCCATTGTGTTGGGGAGGATGAGGTGGTGTTAAGAGATGGGTGATGCCACGAGTTTGAAGAAACGAACATAGTTTTTGAAACTCACCACCACCATCATTATAAACACGCCGAATGGTGGTGTGAAAATAGTTTTCAATCATGGCCGTATATGTAGTAAAAAAGGGCATGAACATCAGATTTACGAGCATAGGATATAGCCAAGTATAACGAGTGAAATGATCAACAATGACTAAATAGTACGAAAAATGATCATGAGAAATTATAGACAAGGGCCCCCAAATATCCATGTATAACAAATCAAAGGGTCTGGTGCTGGAGAGGCTAGAAACTGAAAATGGTCCTTTGATATAATCAAAGTTGCGCAGGGTCAAGCTTCTCGAACCAAACAGAACCGGATAGGATGGAAATCAATCGGACAGTACTCACCCGTGAATAAGGGCAATCGATATATGAATCGATCGGACAGATTAAACTCGGACTAAAGGGCAATCGATATGGGTAGCTCGCCACAACCAGGGTGATTACCTAGCTGATAAGAGTCGCTCTAGCACTCTGGAGATTCTCGACAGAGTAATTAGGGCAAATTCCGCGTAGGGAACTCGGCTTTAGCCTCTGAAATTCAATAATAATCGTCTAAGGGCAAAACCAACGTGTTCAGCCCTTTAAATAGGCAAAATACAACCCAAATCCGACTCCAACATGGAAAAACAATCATAAACCGACTTTATAACAAGGAAACTCGGAAACAGCCCAGCAAACCCGTTAAGCCCAAACCGTTAAGCATGGACCCGTTAAGCAAACCCGTTAAGGCTGCTTCTTGCAATCTGCCTTCTCTTCAGCACTTCCTACTTCTTCCTCCACTCGAATAATCATATATGGCTTCCCTCGAAATAGCTCCACATCCATGGCTCCAAAGTAGCTATTCAAATATGTCGCAAGCTTCTCCTTCACCGTCCTTGCCTTAGCACGTGTGACTGGCCCATTGATGTCCTCATCAGCCCCTCCTTCTTCAAAAGGATTTGCCCTCAAATCCGAATTGCCATCCAAATAAGGCGCAAGGTCGGAAACATTAAACGTTGCACTTACTCCATACTCTCCCGGCAAGTCGATCTTGTAGGCATTGCTTCCAATCTTCGAAACCACCTGGAAAGGACCATCACATCGGGGCATTAACTTTGATTTCCTCTGCTGGGGAAACCTCTCCTTCCTCAAATGCACCCACACCCAGTCGCCAACTTCAAAGTGCCTCGGTTTCCTGTTTTTGTTCACATTGCGCATGATCTGCTCCGTCCTTCTCTCAATGTTCAATCTCGCCTTCTCATATAAACTCTTCACGAACTCAGCTTTCTTGGCTCCATCGAGATTGACCTGCTCATTCAAAGGTAATGGCATCAAATCCAAAGGAGTGAGTGGATTGAAACCATACACGAGCTCAAACGGAGTGAACTTCGTCGTCGAGTGCACCATCCTGTTGTAAGCAAACTCTACATGGGGAAGGCAGTCCTCCCAAACCTTGATGTTGCTCTTGATCACAGCTCGAAGCATCTGGGATAATGTTCGATTGACCACCTCTGTTTGCCCATCGGTTTGAGGGTGACATGTAGTAGAGAACAACAGCTTCGTCCCCAGTTTGCTCCACAACGTCTTCCAGAAGAAACTCAGAAACTTAGTATCTCGATCGGATACTATGGAACGCGGCATCCCATGCAATCGCACCACTTCCCTGAAAAACAAGTCAGCCACGTTAACCGCATCGTCAGTCTTATGGCATGGGATAAAGTGTGCCATCTTCGAGAATCGATCCACCACCACGAAAATCGAATCTCTTCCCTTCCTTGTCCGCGGCAAACCAAGCACAAAATCCATAGAGATATCGATCCATGGAGCATATGGAATCGGTAGCGGTGTGTACAATCCAGATGATTGCACCTTCGACTTGGCCTGCTTGCACTCCACACACCTCGCACACAGATTCTCCACGTCTCCCTTCATGTGCGGCCAATAGAAGTGCTCTTGTAGACAACTCAGCGTCTTGTCTACACCGAAATGTGCCATTAAGCCTCCTCCATGAGCCTCTTTCAACAACAACTCTCGAAGTGATGATCGAGGAATACACAACTGGTTAGCTCGAAACAAGTAGCCATCACTTCGATAGAACTTCCCATCGCCATGCTGCTCACAAGCTCTATAGATCTCCCCAAAGTCAGCATCATCAGAATAGAGCTCCTTGATATGCTCGAACCCCAAATACTTCACCCCCATTGTCGTGATCAACGAATGCCTTCGAGATAGGGCATCAACAACTACATTTTCTTTGCCCTGCTTGTACTTGATCACATATGGAAAGGACTCAATGAACTCAACCCATCGAGCATGTCTCTTGTTCAGCTTGTGTTGAGCTTTCAAATACTTCAACGACTCGTGATCAGTGTGAATCACGAACTCCTTCGCCCAAAGATAGTTCTGCCATGTCTCTAAGGCTCGAACTAGAGCATAAAGCTCCTTGTCGTACGTCGGATAGTTGAGGGCACCCCCACTCAACTTCTCGCTGAAGTAAGCAATCGGCTTCTTCTCTTGCATCAACACTGCTCCAATTCCCAAACCAGAAGCATCACACTCCACCTCGAATGTCTTATTGAAATCCGGCAACATCAGAATAGGTGAATGCATGAGCTTGTGCTTGAGCAGCTCGAATGCTCTGGTCTGCTCCTCTCCCCAATAGAACGTCACGTTCTTCTTGA